TATTCTTTAAAAAGTGACTCATAACCAAAACCTGTTGCATTCTCTTCTATCTTAATTTGTTTGTGATATTTTCCATCTTCTTTTACTTGATCCAAGTATTTCTTTATGTCTTCTGCTCTATCCATGTAGTGAGTAATTTTTTCTCTGAGGTAACATCTCTTAGTATGATCTTGGATGCCTTTCCAAACCTGCAGGAGCAGATCAATCCCCTCTTGGTAACGCACTAGGGCCTGCTGGTACCGGGACTCCGAATCTAGTTCCACCGCCCGGTTCAGCACAGTGATTGCGGCACAGAACTCGGGATCCTGTCCCACCTGGGACTTAGCCATAATTGCAACAACAATCTTTGCCCCTCGACCCGGTTTGTGCCCAAGTGTTTCGTTCACAGAAAAACCTTCTTGGTTCATCCCGGAATAGAGTTTATTGGTGAGGGTGACTTAGTAATCAATTGCAAGAACTCTTTGAACCACCCTTTCCTTCTTGAGTCTCCTGCCCCATGGGGCAGCATCTACCTGGGTGCTGGGGGAGAGAACCTAGGGTGTCAAGGGCCATTCTATATCATTGGAGAGGCCATTTCATAATTAAATTGTGATTAGAACTCACCTGAGGCCTCATATTTTGCCACAGAAGCTGGCTATGGTGTGTGGGAACATAACTCTGTGCCCCTGGTCACAGTGGAGGCCTCAGGGGTCCAGGTTGCACGATGCTGTGATGCCCTGGGGCAAGATTTCATCAGCTGAGCACATCCCGGTGCCTTGAGGACCCAGTAGCAATCGGAGAAGGGCTTCACCTTGGGGAAACGACAAGCTTCTCATTAACCTGCCATCTCTGCTCACCGTCTTCAACATAAGACCCTCATTAGCATAAAGCTGCTGCTGCCCTCAGAAGCATCTGATGGTCCCCTCACCACTTTCCTCAGTATAAATATGATCAGCAAATTCCAAGGTCCTGCCTGCCTTGAGGCCCCTCTAGGCCGCAGGAACAAGTGACCCCCGGGTGCACGGTGCACTGCCATTTGGTCTCTTGCTCCTTCTTTGTGCTGTAACACCTTGTGGGACGTTGGCTCTGTCCAGGGACTGGAGGAAGGGAGCTGCCCACTCGGCACACTGCCCTGTGCCCGCTGCTCGCATGAGCGGTGACTGAGCACCAGCCTCACTGCTGTCTCCCTGGGTCACCTCATTGCCCTCTGAGTGGGACAGATGCTCAAAAGCAAGCTATACTTACAGAGAAAATTACTTGAAAGTGTCGCACATTCAGCTCTTCCCTGCAGCAGCCCTTCTTTGGTTTAACAGTGGTATCCACTTTTGCTTATTACATCTGAAGATAATTACAGAAAATAATATCCCTCCTCAACACTGTTCAAACTGACATCTAAAATTGTCATCTTAAGTTTAAATAATTGCCATGGTGTAATTTGCAGTGAATTATAAATATTAACATTTTAAAATAAAACTGCCACATTATGATTAAATGTATTCATTAAAATCTGATAACTAGAAACTTACCATCCCATACTAAAAATATATAAGAATGATATTTTTTTTTAATAACTGGGTCTTTTGTACTCTGGCATAAATATTGTCAGGCAGGGGTCAAATGTCTCATTTTAAGCCCAAGCTTTGCTCCTATTGGGAATGTTTGCCGGGCAGAGAGTGTGGCCCAGCAAGGCTTCGTAGATCTGAGTTGATCAGCAGCTTCTATTCCCTGGGCAGGCAGCATGGGAAAGTTCAAGCCAAGGGAGGGGCATGCCTTTTCTTCTGACTGAAAGAGGGAGTGGAAGAGATCTCTGCAGATGACTTTCCTCTGTGTGGCACTGGGGGTGGCCCCCGGGCTCCTGTGAGCGGGCCACGTGGTGACCGTGAGTGCCACACAGCCCCTGCAGGGACTTTCCAGGCTCACCAGTTTTGTGAAATAACACATTTGGGAGCTGAGCATCAGGACTCGGGCCCTTGAAAACTGCCTGCCCAAAGGTTCCTTGCGAAGAGTCACCCTGGGCATGCGGAGGCAGCGCAGCTTGGCATCTCCATGCCCACCCCGTCTGGACACTCCCGCCTCTGGGCTGAGCTTCTCCATCCACGTGCTGGCAACCCAGCTGGCTCCTTGTCCTTGAATGCACCAGGGCTCCTTGCACCCTGGACCCCTCTTCTTGGAGTGCACTTTCCACCCATCAGCTCACACAGTCCTGTATCTGCTGACAAATCTCAAGTTTGTATCTTCAGACCACGACTCTCTTCTGAGCCCTGGACCCTTGGAGTCCAATTGTGGAAGGGAATATTTTTCCTCAGATGTTCCTGGCCATTGCCACGGTGCTTGGTATCACCCCCTGTACCTTCCACCAACACCCAGCCACCTAGGGTTCCCTCCAAAAGCCGTGTTCCCCAGCAGGCGCACACCCCTGAAGGACCCACTTCCTGAGCAGATCTGCCCACTTGCTCTCAGGTATCAGCCTGCGCACAAGCTCGGCAGTGCCACACAACTCACTGTCCAAGCAAACCTGCCCGCTTGCCTCCCCACCTCCCTTGGCCTTACCTGCTTTGTGGTTACTTCTTGCCCTGAGCTTCCTTTCTTCGTTTGCTCATTGGTCTCAAAGGGATTGGGTTTCAAATCTGTGCCAAGTATTCTATCAGGTCTCAGGGGAAGACAGACGAAGAGAGTTGTTGCTTCCAAGCTTATGACGTGGCACAGAGAGGTCTGACTTGACCTTTGTGCTTTGGACCTTTGGGAGATACCTGGAGACTCTGGCTGGGGTACAGGCTGGGAGGGACACGGTGGTCCTGACTGGCTGTTAAGGATTCATGATCTCACTCAGCATGGTGAGGGTGGTCCACAGCGCATGTGCGCATGTGTGCGTGTGTGTGTGTGTGTGTGTGTGTGTGTGTGTGTAAGTAAATAATATTCTCTACAAGAGCTCCTAACCTCTGGGGATGAGGGCTACTTTCTGGAAACTTGAGTTATTTTTCAATGATGTCAGGAGTCTTGTTCGTCAGCGGCTATGGTCCACTTCCTTCCTACTATCAGCAGCAGCTCTCGGGACTGTGGATGTAGCTCAGGGCACAAGCACCTGCAAGTGCAAGGTCCAGACACCACCAGCAGCTCCGTCTGCCTCCATCTCTCCCATTTTCCCTGTCTGCTCGCTTCTTCCTTGCATGGTCCTGTGTCCTTGCAGACACCGGACAGAAGTCTGATGTTAACACGAGGAAGAGGAGGCGGCACCAGTTCTACAGAGAATGAAACCCAGACCCCAAGAACTTTCAGGACCACGGACAGGGACCGGGCGTGTCAGTCCGGGTGTGTGGACTCTGGCTGTGTGGCAGACAGCCTCGGAGAGCTCTGATGGCTCGGGCTGCCCCAGCCAGGTTAGCTGAAGGCTGCAGGTGCCCATGCCCAGGTGACTTCTGCTGAGGGTTGTCAGAAGAGGAAAACAACAGCACAGCAATTCCTAAGGAAAGATTTCCCAGCGTCAGGATTTAAATGTGCTTCTGTGTCTTCCCCACACACCACTGGCAGAGTGGCCGGAGTGCTCTGCTGGGAAGGAGGGGTGTTCGCAGGTGCATGAGTGGAGGGAAAGCCACACCCTGTAATCGAGAGCAGGGGTAACCAGGGATTAAGCGCAAGCGAGTTTTAAATCTACTGCAAGCTGGCTTTGTAGGCTCACTAAGGCATTTGTGCAGGGCCAGGAATGGAGGGGACAGAGAGCCGTGGGCCTGTGGTAAGGCCATCTTTCCCACAGTGTTTTCTTCTCCGTGTACTAAACTTTAACTGACTTTTTACTTAGCCTCATGTAGGTAATGTAACAATAAGCACTTCTTGGTGGATGTGTTTATGGGTTAAAACCCCCTTCTTAGGTATCAGACATACATGTATCTCAGTAGCCAGTTTATTCTTTGCTTTCCATGCAAGGGTGGGCAAGTCATTTAATTTTCCAAAAGCCCAGGCCCATCCATGCCTGTGAATGGCAGCCTGGGTCAGTGGCGCATGGACCTCGGGCTGCGCAACCCACGCTCTCTGCTGGAAATGGGGGCAGCGCCTTCCCCATGGCTGGGAGGCGATGGGAGGTCATTTGGTCCACAGGGACTGCTCAGCAGGCAGCTGACATGCGGTAGACATGGAGTAGCTGTTGGCACTTTCCCTAGCTTGTGTGCTAGGGTTTCATCGGCTCATGGGAATGAACCCCACCCCGTCCTGTGAGGGGAGCTTGCCAAGGCTCCATGGTGGCAGCTGAAGCACCTTCTTGGATTTAACTCAGGCGATTGAACTCCAGGTCCTGGGCTCCCAACCAGGGTGCCCCGGATGGCACATGCGCCAATTCCCCCCATTTATTTCTCCCCTCTCTGTCACCACCCCCATCTTCGTATCTGTCTATCCATCATTGCCACGTCACATCGTCACTGTCTGTGGCTGTTACTCACTCTGCCTGTCCATCTTAATTACCAGTGCTGGCTCCGTTTACACACAGTGTGTTCAGAGCCTAGTTCTACAGAGACTGAAACTGAGACCCCAAGAACTCAACCCCTGAAAACAGATCTGATTTTCCAGTCTAGAACTATCTGTTCCAAAACCTGAACTGGATTTTTTTTTCTTACTATATCAAGATTAAATTTAAATGTAGTCTTGATTGTTTTTCAGTGCAATTGTTTACAACTTCACTGTTAAGAAAAGCATGGGAAAGTGTCACATTTCTCCATGACCCACCTACCCCTAAGTGCCACAGCAAGCAGCAGGGAAGGCTTCAGGAGCTGCATGAGAGGGGGCGCTGGGGGATGCGTCTCACAGTCCCATTCATGTGCTGTCCGAGGCTCTGAGGGCTCCATGTCTGACAGACCTGCCTTGTCCAGGCACAGCCGTGGTGCACTTGCTGCTTTAAAAGCAAGGAGCTGGCCCAGAGGCAAGTGGCACCGAGAGAGTGTGACGCATCCAGGAGAGGTGTGACACGCCCTGTGTTTCCATAGGGAGAGGCTCTGTTCTGTGACAGTCTGCAGGAATGGGGGAGAGCTGACAGCAGACAGGTCTGAAGCATCAGGCACCCTCAAATAGAAACTCCAGCGTGGGGCGCAGAGCCACTGGGATAACTGCATCTAATTGACATTCCCAGGTAGGCTCCCCACGAGCCCAGAAGCGTGACTGCTCCGGTGTCTCCTGAGGTCGCACAGACCATTGCGGTAGCTCCCCCTGATCCAGAGGCGGTTGCAGCCCTTTTCCTCCTGCCTGTCATGTGCTCTCCCATGTGCCCTGCTTTGTACCTGTCCCTGCCTCCTCTCAACAGTGGGCCTTCCTCTGATCCCCCTGGAAGGTGGACACACAGACATTCCTCTGCCCAACTCCAAAAGAAGTGCGTACATGTGGGCACATGCCAGCGCTT